TTTTCTTTTCTCGCCTACCATCTTTGCTTACTTCTTTTTCTCTAACACAACTTTAGGGGTGTATAGCCGGAGCCGTGGGGAATTGGAAAACCTTGGCTACGGCTCCGGGCTCCGGGGTTTTCAAAATCTTAGCTCCGGCTCCGGCTCCGGCTCCGCCGGAGCCGGCTCCGGAGCTAGCTCCCGGAGCCATACCCAGCACTGATAATAATTTAACCTTTCAATGTTCTTTGTGAATATTTCAGCCTTTATAATTTCTCTGTGATATTTCGAGATAAAGATTTTAACTGTACATTATTATTTGTGTTTATTTATTTTATCTAATTACTTATAATTATCTGAGTCTATTTTTAAAGATAAAAATAAATATGTTTATCTGTACTTTAATGTTAAAATGTGAATGTAAATTAGAAATTTATAAATAATTTAACAAATAAATACTTAATTTTACGAATCTTTCAAAATAACTATTCTGTTCAATGTCCTTGTCCAAGATTTCTCTCAATACTACATATTATTTTTGATTTAACAAACTGGCTGCTATACAAAAAATGGTTAATTAAAAGAACGGAACGGGCAAAAAAGGGTTGAAGACTAGAGACTGGTTGGGGTCATAAGGGCGCGGGGCCATTAGGGCGCCAGCACTAGAAACTGACACTTAGGCGAAACCGAAATTTATGAAAATTTTCTCAAATTTCTTTAACATCATTGACTACCTCCTCCAGAAATTTCAGAATTTTTCATCCAATATTTCTGAAGTTATAGTCGATAAACCGCGAAAAATTAGGGTTTTTTCGGAAAATCAACATTTTTGGCCACAATTTCCGAAATTCTTGATCAAAAATTCTGAAATTTTTGGAGAACGTAGATAAAGGCATGAGAGTTATTATTGCAAAATTTTATCTTTTTTGATAAGCAACTCACTGTTTTATAAGCTCGCGCCCTAATGGCCCCGCGCCCTAATGGCCCAGTCCCCTAGAGACCGGACTTGAGTGATCGATCGATAATATCGGTATCTATTTCGAAAAACAAAAAAAAAACAAAAAAAAATATCGTCGATATTTTTCGATATTTTTTCCCGACGGGTGAAGTTGTACCAATGACGGGAAAAAATTTATTGATTGATAATATCCGTATCGATAATATCGACATCGATATATCGATATTTTTCATCGATATATCGTATCGATCCGGTCTCTATTAAAGACCGGCTTTAAAAAGGCTTTTAACACCTTTTTCGCCGTTCTGGGGTTTTTTAACCACCATCATTTTTTACTGACACGAGAAAACCGCTCCCGTACTTTCGTTCCTGTCTCTTTAAATTTATTCAAAATATTAAGGAAAATATTATTTAATTAATTTATGCAAAAGAGAATTAAATATTCCATCAAAATAATTAACAGAAACAAAAGATGTATTCATAGGTTTATTTTTGTCCATAGTAATTCCAGATTCTACTTTATAATTTGTAATAAACCAATAAAAGTTGCTTAATGATTTATTTAATTTTTTATCATGTAAAGGACGGCATTTATTTTTTGTTATACAACCAATCATTAATCTTTAATATAAAAATTTATTTTTTTAAAATTATTTTTGAATAGTTGTTTTAAAAAATTTATAAAAATATTTTTAAATTATTTTTTAATATTTTTTTACAAAAAAATTAGGAATTCTCTTAGCAATAATATTATCTTTTAGACTATCACAGTTCCAAATAGATAATACTCTGACAATGATTGGAAATTTAAAAGTCCTCTCTATCCTTCTTATCGGAACGCTGCTAATTGAGCAACAACAAGCTTTGATTAACTATAACTTTTCTACTCCCATTCTATTAGAATCAAAATTTTTCACTTTATTAGCAAATAAAAATATGTTCAAAAGGTACACGTTTATAATACCAAATAATTTTTTCTAATTAAATAAATTTCGTAAAATTTTATTTAATAAACTCATTACTTTTCACATTTACAATAACCATCTAAACATCCATTTTTCTCAGCTGTAGCACAACCAGAATATGAATCTTTACAATTAGAATAATCAAAATAATATTCTCTATTAGTAAAACTTTTTTCCATATCACATTTTAATTCGGTCGAGAAAAGGCAAACAAGCAATTCTTGGTAACAACTTCAAAAATTGTAATAATTTTAAAAAAATTTTGAAGAATAAAAAACATACAAAAAACAATTATGAAGATAATCATTTATATTATCCCTAATTTTACATTCATCAATTGTTGGTGGATTACAATAAATATAATTTAATAAAAATAATAATGTTGAAAGAGATATAAGCATTTTCTTTAAAATATTTATATAAATAGTAGTTACTAGCTTGTTATTTAAAAATTATTTAAAATAATAGAGACGTACAAACGGCAAAATCAACTATTTGATAAACTAATTTGAAAATTATTTGATATTTGAAAAAATTAAATTCCTCAAAAATTCATCAAACAAATATTTGATCAAATAAAATCAAATAAAATTTGATCAAATTCATGTTTGGTCTGATGTCTATTGAATAAGAGAAAATAAACATAAGTAATAATAATTTTCAAAATTTACAATATTTAGAACTAATTTAGGTCAAAAAATATTTCGCAAAAATCCCAAGATTTGATATTTGATTATGGAATTTTAAAAATAATCGTTTCAGTGTTTATTTTATGTAAATATAGTGGAGGGCATTTAATCAAAAAAAAAAACAATTTTCAAAGTAATACATATGTAAGAATGTAAATGAGTTGATGAACTCTTAAACGTTGGATATTATAAATGTGTATCAGGCATCCTTACTGCCGAACTCCCTATTCTTAAAAATCGGAGCTTTAAAATAGCATCAATTTGATAAAAATCGAGACTCCTTCCGGTGTACCAAATGTTATATTCTTGTAACCAAATTTAAAATTAAAAAAAACAAATAAAATGAATAGTAGATCATGGTATACATAATCTGATCAACTATCGATAAAATTAATTAGGTAAAAGACATAAATAAATTAATTAAAACATCATTCACTTTCACCTTTTTCCTCTAAACTAAAGAAAAAATAAATTTGTCAATTAAATTTAAAAATTAAATTCAAGTCAACAAATTAATTATATTAAAATATATAATTAAAAAATAACCAGTTTTTAAATTAGTTGACTATATTTATTCAATAACCGGTATGAATAAAATAAAAATATTCAAGTGGAAAGGTATACAATCAAAATAAATTTGATAGCTGAAAGACGTGATCAACTTTATTCTTAAATTTTGTCCGTTCTGAAGTTCTGATCCTGATGCTATTTATGCATCCAAGTCAAATTCTTTCTTCATTACCTGGTTTGATTTTGTACATGGTCGCGAATTTGAATCCAAGTAGTCTTTTCTTTTCTTTACTTTTCTTGCATTCTCATTTTTTCCTGCCAGTTTTCACCTTCCCGTTTTTGTAAATACGGAACAAATATCTCAAATTAATTATTCACTTAGAATTAATTAATTAGACAAAATAAATAAACACAAATAATACAATTAAAATCTTTATCTCGAAATATATAAAGGCTGAATATTCACACAGAGCATCGAAAAGTGAAATTATTATACCTTTCGGGTCACCTCAAAAAGTATAAACGAAATTCCACAAAAATATCGGATTTATATAAAATCTTTAAATCCTTAATTTCTTCATCGACATGCAATATAATTTCAAGTTTTGCAACCAAGACAAAGGTTAGCAAGTGCCTCAGGCATTGAATTATGGAAATAACCCTGTTCCTTTACATAAGCCATATAATTTAGAAAAAGAGTATGATTGTATGCACAATTGAAACAAAATTCAATTAAATGAAGCAATTCTGCATATCTTTTAGCACCCGGAAATGGTCCATATTGATTCTGAGATATGTAGAATATTTTAATATTATGCTGTGGAAAAATTCATTTAATGTGAGATGGAATATTTAGAACCATCAGGAATGAGCCCAGAAAGAATCACAACCGACTGAGCCACCATTCAACCCGATGATGGTGGTATTCTCCACAAGTCCGCAAACGTTAAGAATGAAAACTTCGATATTCACCCATGTTTATTAAAGGAATAAGCTAAACACCTGTAACATTTTCATCAAGATATCAGAATATTTCTCTGCCTCAGTTAGTAATAATTGTCGGCCATACTGACTTAAATCACATGAGACAAAATGTGATGAAATTATAGCACGAAGGAGAACAAATTCTTCTTTGCTGAGTCGTAGTCGATTGAATGGAACCAAAGAATCGTCAAATATTTTTTTGATAAATTTGTTTATCCTAATTCAAAATGAAGAATTAATCAAAAAATAGAATTTACGTCATGTCTTCTTTGTAAATATTTGCATTGTAAACAGCTTTAATTGGAACACCATTCGGCCAAATAATAGTTTCAGATAAAATTGTACTGCAATAATACCGTATATTAAGTGATGCAATCGGTATGGTGATTGTTTTGATTAGAATTATCTTTATAAAAAATAATTATTGTATAACTGCGAAAAGTTAGTTTTATAGAGACTTCCACTAAAACGGCCCTTCGCTAAAGGGTCAATTTTCGTTCATTATAGGCTACTTGTATATATCGAGAACACAAAAACTAGTGATCAGCCGTACCTTACTACGGCTGTATTTTTCGGTATTTATCGGGGTTCCTTATCTGTAGTACTGTACGTTATACGGTACGGAAATTTTTTTAAAATACTGTCACGAATACGGTACTATATATGGAAAAATATGGAAATGAAAGTGCCCCTTTTTGAAAGCAAACAAAGCGGAAAGTGTGTTTCTCGTGCGTTTCAGACCCTAATTCAGGAAAAAAATATGGATTTCCATAGAATTGCCAGCCCTACCGATCACTAACAATAACCGAAATACTCTCCAGGAAAGTGGGGTCATAAATACAAACCAAACAATACAATATTTTGTGCATCTAGGAGCTATAACTTTGGAACTTGTGAAAAGTCGGTTTTACGGATTTAGCCAAAAATAATCAGGGTTGTCACCTTGTCAGATAAATCCAATTTATCGAAAAAAGGCATAGTTCTTGCAGTATCAACAGAAATAAGCATACCATCCGTCATAGGTTTAGGTCGATTAGAAAAGACACGACGTCTTTCTATGGGTTCACGACCAGGTTCTTGAAATTTTTGCAATCCAATCTTTAAATTTAGAACAAAAATTGGTCTGTTTTTAAATTTAAACCGTGTGTTTTATAGCAATTAAATTTTCTTTACGCGTAAGCAATGAAGCAAGAGAATCACACGAGGAATTGTAATGGCATTCATCAATCCCTGAATCTCTAGTACGACAAGCATTTTGCTCGACAATTAGAAGATAGTCAAGAGATTGTTTGTTTTGAGCAGCGATTAATGACTTTTGCTTGAATATTATAAAAATAAAAAATTCTAAATAATTTGATAATCGAAATAGGTAGGAACATATCAGGGGGGGGGTCAATTTCGAGAGCTATTAATGGATTGTGAAAATGAAGAAGGATATCGAGTGAATAAGAAGATATTATGAATCATGGAGTAGCTCAATATCTCGTATCTCGTGAAAATCTCGTATTTTTTGAGAGACCTCGTATTATCTCGTTCTCGTATTTTTTTTTGAGAACTACGTATCACGTGAATCTCGTGTCTCGAATTTTGTCCCCAGGTACTATGAACTAAATGGATTACTCTAAAAGAAGGGCTTTGATGGTTACGGTATTAAAAAGAACATCATTTCTGGAGCAGAAGAGAATTTAAATTAAAGAGGACACCAGACATTGACAAAATAAAATTTGAAAATACGTCCTCCGTATATTATAAAATAAGGGGAAAACTAACGGCCTAATAAACAATAATAATCTACCAAATCAACAAAATTTAGCCCTTCAACAGCACAATTATTAGATTTTCCTTCAACATATTTTCCTTTACTAGCAAGTTCTCTAAGTTTATTTTGAATCATTGTTTGTATTTCCAAAACCTTTTCGGGTTGCCTCCCTTTTGTTGTTTGAATACACATTCCCTTTAATATGCATTTATCGAAACGGCAACTTTTGCAGACATTAATATCTTTAATTAGTATTTTTTAGATATTATTCCATTTCCTTCGTAAATAAACAGAAACATGGATCCAAAAAAGCCCCTTAAGAGCCCCTAACTGTCAGAATTATTGAAAAGCCCTTAATTAATTGGCAATCTATAAAGGCAGCTAAGCTAGTAAAGTCTTGTTTCTAAAATATTTAGTCTCAATTAGGTTTGGATACAAACGGTTAACTAGAGCGGAACCGTTAACCGGTGAGTAAGCCGTAATCCCCATCTTTATCTCCACATTTATCATTAACATCCCTCCACCAATATAACATCCATTTAAGTGCAAAAAACTACCATTCGACAAATTACAGTTCCCATCTTTTTCACATTTATATTGGAAGTAATACACATTTATATTTTTGGAAGTAATACAACGATTGAAAAATTGTTTACAGCCTGAAAACAATATTTGAATTTTTAAATTTAGTCAAGCAAATCTACCATCACAACAAATTACTCCATAATAGAGATATCCACTAGCTACACGCCCACAGATACTACATTTAGTTTTTGTTGCCACTTTTCGAATTTTTAAATTTTTATTTTTATTCTCTTCAACTTTTTGATTCTCAACTTTAATTTCTTCGTTATTCTCTACACTATCACTTAAATCTTCAAAATTTTGAAGGCTTTCATTTCCCATTACTTCATTGACTGTTTCATTGATATAATTTGTTAATGACATTGAGATTGAATTTAGTATTAAATAAAATTTAAAGTCCTGTGCAAACAATTTGAATTAAATATTAATTTTATTTTATTAAATTCCAGCTCGCTAGATGGAATAGAAAAAATATAAGAAAACTCGCTAGCTGAAAACGCTTACTTGTCAGGAATTCGTAAGGAGACGTTTCTTGCTGTAAAAGGGTTGTTGGTTTGGAAACGAACTGGAGATTTTTAGCTCCGTCTATCCAAGAACCATCACCTCTACTCCTAAATGAGAGAGGTCCTGGTTAAATGTCCTAATAATGTATATGCCTGATTTAAAGGTATATATCAGAAGCTCTTCATTAATATTTTTTACTTGCGTCTGCGCCTCTGTCTTAAAGCCAAAGGGGGATGCCGCCCTTACTTTGGATGCCGCCCTTACTTTCATATACTGCCGACTTTCTAGTCAACCTGTATATTGAAAAATGAACGTTCATCTCTGTTTGTTAAGCCTTTGCTTAAATCTTAATTTATCGTTTATGTCCTAATATGTATATGCCCTGGTTTAAAGGCATCTATTAGAAATTAAAGGAAATTTAAAACTCAATCCAAAGTTAAATTGATTGAGTTTTAAATTTTGATTCTAAAATAAAATGCAATTTATTTTACGTATTTTTAAATAAAAAATATTAATTTAAAATTATAAATTGAATTAAATAAAAATGAAATAAAATCATTAAAATAAAATATTTAAATGTTTGTTCAGGTTAGATTTATGCTTTGCGAAGAAAAAAATAATTTAATAAAGGAGATTAAATACAGTGACGGAAAACTATTCAAAAAAATTTTTTTCCAACTCTATATTTGTAAATACCTATCTACTTATACTTAATTGAACCACTAAAATAAAATAGTTTTTGAAGAATTGTAAATATGTACACTCCTCCACAAAAGTATATATATATTAATGACATAGCTTGTGTTGCCTTTAGAGATTTCAATGACTCTTGGTTAGTTTTGCCAAATGGATATTTTCGGTACCGGGAAAAACCATAATAATCCATAAAATACAGATTAGGCTGTCTGCATCTTCGGATTTTTTACCTAAATAACTTAATTCCTCTCACTCACGGACAATCAAACCCCCCCCCCTCTAAACCTTAACCGACCATCAAAACCCTTAATAAATTCAAGTTTTGCAACCAAGACAAAGATCAGCAAATGCTTCAGGCATTGATTTATGGAAATTATTCTGTTCCTTTACATAAGCCATATAATTTAAAAAAAGACTATGACTGTTTGCACAATTGAAGCAAAATTCAATTAAATGAAGCAATTCTGCATATCTTTTAGCTCCTGCCAATGGTCCATAGTTATTCTGAAATAGAATATTTTAACATTATAAATGCCGAGTTCATTTAATGGGAGATGGAATAGGGAATGAGCCCAGAAAGAAGCACAACCGAATGTGTTACCATCCAACCCAATGATGGGTTAATTTTATGTATTCATTTTCTTTCTGCAAGTGCGATCACAATGCAAATTTTATTTGTAAGGATTTGGATAAACAATTATAAATATCTTGAATAATCAAAGTAGTCAATGGTCAGGGTTAGTCCTCTAAGATTTTAGTTCTGTGTGCGTCATTGGGCGGACATCGGAGGATTATGGGACCATACATTGTAATTTGAAGGGATTAAGAGGGATATCGTTGGATTTATGGAGATTATAGGGGTTAAGAGGATTTTGGGGAAATATTTAGGGATATGGGATTATTAAGTGGTCAACTATTTAATTATAAGGATGCAGAGGATTTTCAAAAATTAAGAGGGATCAAAAATTAAGAGGACCCATTTATCATGTTATTACTATAATGTCAGATCTTCAATATTCCCCAAGTATAAGCTAAAACACCTGTAACATTTTCATCAACATATCAGAATATTTCTCTGCCTCAGTTAGTAATAGGTGTCGGCCATGTCGACTTAAATCAACTGAGACAAAATGTGATGAAATTATAGCGCGAAGGAGAACAAATTCTTCTTTGCTGAGTTGTAGTCGATTGAATGGAACCATAAAATCGTCACATAATTTTTTGATATGTCTTTTTATCCTAACACATAATAAAAGATTAATCAAAAATAGAATTTACGTCATGTCTTCTTTGTAAATATTTGCGTTGAAAATACTTTTAATTGGAAATCCATTCGACAAAATAACAGTTTCGGATAATTTTGTACTGCAATAATACCCCGAATTAAGTTTTGAAATCGGCATGGTGATTGTTTTGATTAGAATTATCTTTATAAAAAGGACGATAAGGTATATTATAAAAATTTTGGAAGACCCTTAAGCTAAAAATCTTCCTTTTTGCGTTGCAGATAGGGGCATAAAAATACTCGATTTTAACCGAGTCTGTCGAGTAGGAAGTTTCCGAGCTCGAGTAATCAGAGTATTATGATCCAGAGTTCCGAGTCGAGTAATTAAGCAAAAAACCCGAGTAGTCGAGTCGAGTAACTCGAACTCGCTCGACTCGGACTTACTCTATTTTAAACAATACACTATTTTGTGCATCTAGGAGCTATGACTTTGGAACTTGTGAAAAGTTGGTTTTATGGACTCGACTAAATTAGTCACCTTGTCAGATAAATCCAATTTATCGAAAAAAGGCATAGTTCTTCCAATATCAACAGCTATAAACAAACAATCCGTTAAAATTTTTGGTCGGTTAGAAAAGACACGATATCCTTCAATGGGAACACGACCAGATTTTGGATATTTTTTCATATAAATCTTTAAATTTATAAAAAAATTGTTTTGTTTTTTTAAATTCCAACAAACATTTTCGTGTTTCATAGCAATTAAATTTTCTGTACGCGTAAGCAATGAAGCAAGAGAATTACACGAAGAATTGTAATGGGATTCATTAATCCCTGAATCTATAGTACGACAAGCATTTTTCTCAATAGTTAGAAGATAGTTAAGAAATTGTTTGTTTTGTGCAGCGATCATTGACTTTTGCTAGAATATTATAAAAATCAGAAAGTCTAAGTTATTGAAGATCGAAATAGGAACATATGAATCAAACAAAGCTTTGATGGTTACGGTATTAAATGGAACATAGTTTCATGCCATAAAGAGGAGTTAGATACCGTATTTCCTCTAATACTGCCCCATGGGGCTGTATTTTTCAACTATCCTCCAGAATGGGGCTCTATTAGGGGGGTGGGGCTCTAATTGAGGGTGGGGCTCTATTTTTCAACCCTCTTTTGAGATAAAATCTGATTTATTAAATAACTATTGCAACTAAAGATCGGCTGGATTTCTCCCATTTTGTCCATAAATTTGGTGAAAATATATCGAGTCTTGTTCGAGTCTGGCCAGAATTTTCCGAGCCATTTTTTCGGGCTTGTTTTTATCGAGACGGGCCTGTACAAGTCATTTTTTGGCCAAACGTCGATCTTTCTGTCCGAGTCGGTCCATTCTGGCAACCCTTATTTTAAGACTTATGGGGAATATTAGAGGATTAAGGTTACATATATTGAGAGATTTAGAGGAAGTGAGAGGGATATTGTGGATTAGTGTTATTAGAGGAATATCCTCCGCAATCACCTTTATTTCCTTAACTCTCGTAATTAGGGTTATCGGTTCGGGAGTGAACCGAACCAAAGAATTTCGGGACTGAACCGGAAAAGGTTCGGGACTGAACCGAACCCTCCCCCGCATCACCTTTATTTCCTTAACTCTCGTAATTAGGGTTATAGGTTCGGGAGTGAACCGAACCAAAGAATTTCGGGACTGAACCGGAAAAGGTTCGGGACTGAACCGAACCCTCCCCCGCATCACCTTTATTTCCTTAACTCTCGTAATTAGGGTTATAGGTTCGGGAGTGAACCGAACCAAAGAACCGATGATTTATCAGTTCGGTTCCGGATATCCGAAGTTCCAAGAACCGACATTCCTACTCTTAATACATCTAAAAATTTGTGGGGCTATTTTTTACTATTTTTCCTCCAATATTTTTTGGGCGGGGCTGTATTTGGGGTGGGGCTCTATTAGGGGGTGGGGCTTTATTTTTCAACTATCCTCAAAAGTGGAGCTCTATTAGGGGGTGGGGCTCTAATTGAGGGTGGGGCTCTATTAGAGGAAATACGGTAATTGAGAATTTTCTGTATTTGAAAATAAGGGGAACCCGAACAGTGTAAGGAAGTCTAAATACAAGAACAGCCTAATAAACAAAATAATAATCTACCATATCAACAAAATTCACTTCTTCAACAGCACAATTATTAGATTTTCCTTGAACATATTTTCCTTTACTAGAAAGTTCTCTACGTTTATTTTGAATCATTGTTTGTATTTCCAAAACCTTTTCGGGTTGCCTTCCTTTTGTTGTTTGAATATACATTCCTTTTAATATGCATTTATCGAAACGGCAACTTTTGCAAACATTAATATCTTTAATTAGTGTTTTTAGATATTATTGTGTTTGTATTATTAAATGAACAAAAATATGGATACGAAAAACCCCATAAAAGGCAGCTAAGCTAAAGAGCTAAGCTAAAGAAAGAGTTTGAAAGAGTTTAGCCACCGGGCAGGATTCGAACCTACGACCACCTGCCAGTTGTTGCCAGACGCTTTCGCTCACCATATGCAGGAGCTCTACCTCAGAGCTACCGGGGCATCGACTAATGCTTTTTCTTTTTCCTTTTTAGATCGTTTAACCCCCGCCTAAGCGTTTTAAATGCTGCTGGGTGAATCATCCTTACACTAGTAAAGTCTTATTTTCTAAGATAGTCTCCATTAGGTTTGGATACAAACGGTCAACTACAGCGGAACCGTTAACCGGTGTTTTTGGGCACCGGTTGTAACTGGTATGTCCAGCCGTGATCATCATCTTTGTCTCCACATAATATCATTAACATCCCTCCACCATTTAATTGCAAAAATATTACTATTCGACAAATTACAGTTCCCATCTTTTTTACATTTATATTTGGGTTTTGAAGTAATAGAACGGTGAAAAAAGTGTTTACA